TCAAATATAATGTCTTATAAGGTCAGTAGTCGGATGAGTGCACATGTAAAAGTCAATGAAAAACACAGAGAAACATTAATTTCATCCATCCATCCGTTCATCCATATGGCTCTTAAGGTAAACTGTGTTCTTTTCAATTTGTATTCTATTCAGTTGTTTTCTCATAAAACTGATTCAACTTTGAGTTGTGGTTACATATTGCTCTATGAAGATATTATAGTGTTTTCTTTCTCCACTCTGATAAAACAGCAACTCCAGTCTAGACCACTTAAACACAAACATATCTGGCCTGGGACTCACTGAGCCTCGAGCCAGATGCACCGAGATGTGTACAAGCTCAGCAGTTATCTCTATAATTGTAATGTTTTCATGTCCAGCAGCCGCATAGCAAGGACAAAAACGCACTCATAACCACATGAATGCACATTCAAACACGGTGCACTGATAGCCACCCGTCACTATCTCAGCAGTTTCTCACTCAGAAAAATGCAGATAACCTGTGATTCATTTTCATTTCAGTCTGCAGTATGAGATCCTCGTTCTTTGGGCTGCGAGTTGAATGAGACTTGGTTGTGATTGTAGTGACAATATTTATTATGACATCAATGGCTGTGCAACAACTGAAGCATGATCTGATCATAGAGGATTAGAAGTTGATTTGTTCACTCAAAGGACAAGTTGAGGCTCATAGACTCCCAATCTGAACACAATTAAACACTTCACTGCTAGACCTTGATTCAAAGAAAATTAGATGTCACATGAACCTTTTATAAAAAATACCATCAGATTGAATTGGTAAAGCAGCTCCTCGCCACACAAAGAAATAGTGCAAGCATGCTATTTTCACACTGCAGCTTTTATGCCATTATTGATCTGACTGCATAAAACATGAAAAGCCCTAAAGGGATATGGCTACTGACGGCCAAGCCACAAGACAGTGGGGAAAATAAGGTTTCCATTTACTTTACCTTTACTGTTTACTATTTACACTGTGATATAATATAGACTGCAGTGTCACATGAGGAATCTGTTTATATTATTTGGGCTTTTTGGTCTGATATATTCATTTTTGACATCCAGACTCTGTGATACAGAAGAAAATCCATTCTCTGAACTGTAGGTCAAGCCAACCCCCTCCTTGGACAATGTGTGTGTGAATATGTGAGTGTGTTACTACACACAAGCCCCACCCTTACTCTCTGTGTGACTCAAACGGTGCCATCACTACCATCTTCTCCCCGCTTCCCCAGTCCAACACAGATACCATCACAGTAATGGACTGATCATGCACAGAGCAGCAGAATAAAGGAAACAGTTAATGAATGAGAGGATGAATGAATGAGTAAGCAAATGAATGAATGAGTAAGCAAATGAATGACTGGTGGTGTAAAAGCTCAGTAAAATGCAGGATTTGCAAATTATATATATATTATTTAATATAAAAATACAAGCACATTTAGCCTGTAAATGTATTCAAAATACTTTCAGAAACATGCACATACACACACATGCACACGTTCCTCTTAAACCTTTGTATTTATAATCTGTGGGCCATTGTGCTCAGATCTACAACAATCAACAGGCTAATTGAATTGGACGGAGGCATAACTCATTCTAATGGTTGGATCAGGGGGAACCAGAGACTCAACCAGCTGTTCACTCTGTTGTCTTCCATTGGTTCTTCACATTATGACAATGTGGCGTTGTTTTAATTATGATTACACAAGGACTAATGAAGAATGGGAGGAAACAAGAACAAAAGATCTTGACGATGGGTGAAAGGTCAAGTGCAGCAGCAGAGGTACAGTCATGTCCATGTATGTTTGCAACAAGCTCTTTTAATTACTGCACATCCATCTTGTTCAAACTGATTATTGTTATTAATCTGTCAGAAAAGGATGCTGAACACGTGTAGGTTCTGTGGTTTGGTCACACAGAGGCTCTCTGCTGTGGAGCTGCTGGTTGAGCAAGTAAAAACCACACTTACACAGCGAAATAACACATTTATTTTACTGTTCTTGGCCATAATGTAATGGCATTCTCACAATCTGACCCTGATACATATGCAGAGGCCTCTGCAGAGGGTTTGAAGTGCAGCCTGTGCAAGGTTGTGTTGTGTCTCTCTACTACACAGCTCTATTAGATACAGCAGGGTGGCTGAGCGAGGAGTTATAACCCAGTAAACGGTCTCCCTCAGGCGAGAGAAACATCTTGTGAATACCAAAACCTTGCTTTTTGTTATGAATGAGACAGGACGCGGAGGAATGGAGGGAGAGAGACAGAGGGGTGCATCCATGAATCAAATCATAGCTATTACTCGTTAACTGAAGGAACAGATCAAATATAATGATCAAGCTGTAAAAATCTTGTTGAAAAATATTGTGTTACCACTGAGATAAAACACTTTGTCAAGAGTGTTTTGACTCAAGACTCTGTCCAGCTTCTCTTTAGTGAATGTTTGCTGGTTTCTGGTTGTTAGGTGACAGTGTCTAAAGACGTTTTCCAGGCATGAGATTTACATTTAAAGCAACAGGAAAATCTCCAGAAGATTCAGGAGAGGGGAGGTGTCTGAGCAGAGCATGCAGGAGGCATGACATGACATGTAAATTCTGCTGTTTACAGCACATCAACACCGGCCTCGAACTCGAATTTACATCTTTCTCTGCATCCTCAATGTGTATGGCTCCTCTTTTTATCCTGAGATATTTACATTCTTTGTGTTCACCTGTCACATATTAGAAACGTCATCAACACGCCCACTCGCTCGTTGTGAATCCTCTGGACATTTTCCTGCCGTATTCACATAGGGGCTCCTTTGGACATTCTCCAGAGTTTTTACCGGAGAATATCAGGAGAATATCTGGAGTTCAGTGCAGTCTGTAAATTGTGAAATCTCTACAAAAGTAGAAAAACACCACATAAGTGCAGCATATTTTTACTAATGTTGTTCTGGCCCAGTTTACATCCAGTCAGTTGAACTGAAGAGAAATTGCTGCAGAAAGCCTGAATTTCATAACACCTGCTAATCTAGTTTCTCTCATGAAAAGTCAGTGAACCTCTGCTACAGGAGTGAGTTCTTGACAGGGCTCAATAATTCAGTTTTTCTGTTGCCTGCTGTTTTCAGTATGGCTTCAATTCCCTTTTCCATAGAATCAACAAAAAGGCATTTCTTCTCCTCTAAACTCAACAAACTCCTGCTGGTTCTGCTTTCTTTACACATGTCTGCTTCAGTGTTTTGGTTACTTTCAGAACTGTGTAACAAAAGTGTGAAAAGCTCACAAATCAATATGATTGAGTGAGGAATGCTGAAACGTCACGATGATACCAGATTAATGGCACAGTTTTATACTGATTGATTGATCCCGTCTCTATTCATAAAGCACACTCACCTATCTTGCCACAAGCAGACAGAGGCAGACCAGTGACCCATGAGCACAGCTCAGGTTTGAGACAGGAAATGATTTATCATCTGTGTTCAGTTTGCCTTGTCGAGCCAATGGCCTCTGGAGACGCCTCTCAAAGCAGAGACAGCTCATACGTTATCACTGAACAAGACATGTACAGGAGTAAATGTCATATTTAGAATCAGAATCAGAATTCCTTTATTGTCCCAAGATTGGAAAATGAACAACATACAGAGCTTATTCACACAAAGCGTGGTTTGCATAACAACTTCTTTTCATGCCTACCACCAAATTTCACACACTCATTTTTTATTTTTTTTAATCGTGATACATAAGTGAAAACAAACAAAAATGTTTTTATTTCACAATGTTAATGAAAGTGATTTGAAAAAATGAATGGATCTGATACTTTGTCCAGATCCATACCAAAATGTAAAGGGTTGTTTTCTTGGACCATGTCCCATCATTACATCAAGTTTTGTGGCAATCCGTTTTTGCATTATCCTGCTGACAAATACACACATGAAACTCCTTAAAGTCCTTTCTTGCAATGTAAAAGAAAGAGTAAAAAGTCTGGATTTTTCCTGTAAATCAAATCAGCTCCAAAAGTTACTGAGCTCTTCCTTGGCACAGACCCCGACCTTGCACAAGTTTCAATAAAATCTGCTCCTTGGTTTGGGTAATCCTGCTAAAAGTCCAACAAATGGGGTGAAAACACAACTTTTTCAGCGGTAACAAGCAGTTGAAACTGATCTCTCTGCCTGACGCTTACTCATGCATACCGAGAGTCTCGGTGGCTGTGTTACAACTTTGTCACATAATTCTCTCATCCACATCAGCCCACTTCAGCTAGAGCTGCATGTGCAAAGGGAGACACAGCTCTGTGAAGGGGCATATTGAACAACACTGAAAAATCTATCACTGCAAACTGACCGAGCACACACACATTCATTACATCGTAAACCACAGTCATGCAAGCAGCGCAGAGGTCACTTTCCAGCAGCCATATTTTTATCCTCTCATCACAGACACACACAAACAGGGCTGCACGTCACCACATCCTAACGCACATGTCAAGCCTGCAACTAAAGAAAGTTGTTTACTTCCACAAACTGGTCTCTAAAATAAAAATAAATGCTTCACATTCTTTCCCTCATTAGACTTCGCTTGTGCCAAAGATTAATTTAGCCAGTGGCCTTCCTTATCGTTGCTATGTTGAGTATATTGCACCACTCAAAACTTAACTGAGGTTTGTTGCTGTCGACAAAGTATGTTGACAACAAACAGGTTTCGCTTTAGTTAACTTCCAACTTCTCTTCTCAGCACTTTCCTCGTCCCCTCTGTGTATAATTTAAAGCCGGTTATCTAAGATAGTGAGGCGGAAGGTAATGATTTACTAATTGCCTGCAGTCTGGTCGAGTCAGAGACTGAAGAGTTGCAGTTCCAGTGATTTACTATTTTTAGCAGATGAAGGCTGTTATTCTAGGGATGCCCAAACAGGCCCCGGGCAAAAGGGGCATTGGGGGTAGAGCTGTGTGTGTATGTGTGTATATGTGTGTGTGTGTGCACATGTATGCAAATGGGGAATCTCCTTACCTTCTATGGATGGAGCTTGGTCCTGGGCAGCATACAGCATTTCCTTGAACGCCTGATGAGAAAATTAGAAGAATAATGCAGATGGTGAGAACTTCTGCATATTCTGCACACAAGCAACAACAGGTTTATATACTGCATTTCGTTGCTTTGTACTTGTGACATGTGCAATGACAATAAAGTTGAATCTAATCCATCTAATCTAATACAGGAAACATCAGAATTCATGTCAGAGTTGGAAGAATTCAAAAATGCATTGAATAAGTACACATGTAGTAAATAAAAGTAGCGTGAGTTTCACAGGGCCTAAACGTATCAGACCACTTGAGTCAGCTCCACATTTTCCAAATGTGTCAGAGCGATGAAGATGTATGTAAGATGTATTTAACATATAAACAGTTAGGATTGATTACAGGGGGCAGCGAGGCATTACACAACTGTTTGCACCATCTGCTTTTACAGTAGCATTTAAACCTTCTAAAGCCATTTGAGAGCCATTAAATAACACTTCCTCCATATGGGGGGATTTCAGTAACGGCCGTTAAGCTGTTAACATATTGAACGACACAAAAACTCTGGTATTTTAATCCTTGTTTATTTCAATGACACTTGTAAAAAGGAGCAATTAAACGTCCACAAATTCTTCATAATGCTTCGGTTATACATTTTAGATTCCGGCTCCATGAAATGTGGGTCATGTTTTTTGTTCACCATTTTAAATCATGAAAATCTCAGCAACATACAGCGATGAAAAAACACTGTTGCATAAAGATTTATGACGATAAAAAGAGAAGAATGGTTGTTGTTCTGACTTTTTTAACGTGAACAGTAAAAGATTAAGACACATGTAGAGTTTGACAGAAGTTTCTAATTTAAACTGCAGATTGGGAGAAAGATGAAGATAGAGGAAGTCGGACAAACTGCTGGATAAATGAGACATGGGAAAATAATTTAAAGACTTAGACAGCGAGAGACAGCAACATTGGTTAAATGAGGTTTCTTCTCTACAGTAAGATTGATCGTGAAGATAATGAAATGAAACGATAATGAAATGACAGATAAGTGAACAATGACTCATCTGAACATTTCAGTGGTAATCAGAGAAAAGACTAGAACTGAATCCTGTTTCTCATTAAATCATCTTCAAACTAATCTGCTCTGATTAAAAATAGGGGGGGGGGGTGTCTGTTAAACTTTATCAAGTTTTAATGATTGAATCATTATGTATATATAAAATTAACAAATATATATAAAGTTATGGGAGAATATTTCTGGGGCGCCTGTTAGCTCCTAGTAGTTTGGGTGCGCCTGTAGTGGATGTCTTCCCTCATTCTCTCTCCCCAATTTACATTTAGTGTCCGATCAATAAAAAGCTAAATGCCTCTGATATAGCATAAAAGAACAGAGGGGAATATTTTTCTCTGTCATCCAAACCTGACAACCTGGACGTTTTTCTCTCTTATCTCCTGACACTGTTTCTTTGTATCATATAGAACCTGCTGCTCGTGTAACATGACAGTGAGAGGGCTCTATGAGTTATTTTCTGTGTGGGTGGACACCACTCACAAACGGCTGTGCATTAGTAGCAGCCTGGTTGTTGATACTTTAGGTTCCTTTGGAGATCTAAACATTTCATGTGTCTGTAGCGCTCGCTCCACCTTGTCCACATGGTAAAGGTCACAGGGGACCAACTGTGCATACATAGCACTGGAGCAAGGCCCAGTTCTGGCTAATCTCTGGTGATCTCTGGTGACCCCCCCCCCCCCCCCCCCCCCCCCTCTTCTGTAATATGTGGGAAACAGATATTCAGATTCAAACAAGGGGGGTGGTCATTAAGATGGAGGCATCTCCATGGTGATGACAGTGACGGGAAAGCGGGCTGGGGTGGGGTGGCTCTTTGGGGAGTTAGGTTAAACCTTTGGGCTTGGTGGTAATCAGTGATGAAACCTGTAGACAAAAACTAAGCCGAGCCTAATGGAGCTCATCAGTTTGAATGACCATGCATTAACGTGATGATGGCCCATACTCACTAAAACAAACATGTATGGAACACGTGTAAGTACTTGTGACACTCGACAGGCTTACACTGCAGATGCATCTAGTCGATTGAATCCTGTCAATGGAATTCAATCCTTTAATAGCTGCGACATGTCGAGTGGACGTTAAACAAAAATATTTATGTGCTACATGTTCAAATCCTTCCTCAGATACTTGAGATTGTTATCACGATGGCCGAGGAGATCGCACAATGCTCATTACGACTCTGAAGAGATCTCTGGCTCAAATCAATGGTGGATCACTTGAATCCTTCACTCTGTGGAAGAGGAGTGGAGAGGATGGGAGGAGAGGCTGCGGGGAGGGGTGGAGGGAGGCAGAGGGCAGGTCTGGTCGGGGACCAGATGTCCTCCCAGTGGGGGAGGAACGATGAGGTGAGGATGGAAGGAAGGAGGGAGGTATATAGGAAGAGGGGGGTTCACAGCAGTTGCCGTGCCTGTTGTATACATAATGTTCATAATGTAGAACATGCTTATAAATCACACTTTCATGGCACAGCCAACAGATAGGGTGCCGTATATATTTAATGCACTGTTAACATTGTGTCTGTATGTCACAATGCAAAGCTCAGACATTTAAACTGCATCACTTCCCTTAATGACATAAAGGCGCGGCTTCACCTTTGAACAACCAGCAATCAGTCATTGAAATCCCACAGGCACCTGCTTTACATCCACATACTGTAATGACACTTGGCTAGTTTGAATTTTAGATGGGAGTCTCCACATACACTCTCCTCCTCCTCCTCCTCCTCCTCATCGCCTGAGTTTACACGAGTGATTAGACCTCAGATGTAGACGAACTAGTGGCCTTGTTCTCTCGCCCACACAAACATCAGCATCTCTGCCTCTCTTTACACCTGTGCCACCACACAGTTATATGATACACTTTTACTTACATGCCGTTATACAAGCAAGTTTGCTTTTGTATTACAAATTCTCAGGCATGTATGCAAATGAAATTATGAACTAAAAAAAAAACACATCATATCCTCTCTGTGTGAATCAACCTACATCCACTGCCCTTTGGAACAAGCCGCTGGAATCTGCAGGACCTGCACACGTCCATACCAAACAGCTGTTTAGCATAAAGGTTTATAACTACAATCCCAGAGGATAAAGAGAACACCTAATTACTCCATCACTCAGTTGCCTTGTCAATGCCTTCACGATCAGATGAAGTGCCGTACTAACTAAAGCTCTGTATTCGCTAGAGCGGACACTTTGCTGCATCCTTCTCATCTGCATAGAAACTCGCTGACCGTTCTGCATAGGCGGCGCACAGATTTCCACACAATAGGGTGGTCTGAAAATAGGAGGAGAGTGAAAATGGGGCACCGGGTTAATTAATCCAATTTACACACAAAGACAAGAATATCACTTAAAGGCACAGTCAGTTTGGATGTGGGCAGCTTTATTAACACAGCCACTGTGGAAGTGTCATATTTTTTTATTACATGTACAAACGACCTGCGCTGCTGGAACAATGCGTCATTTAATAGACAGACAACTGAACTACAGAGCAGCCTGCAGAGGCCATAATGCACAACAAATACACAGCTTGTGATGACTACTACTGTGTATGATAACTGAATGTTTGCTGGATGGACTTCAGGGTCAAGTCCCTGAACTGATCGTGTAACTCCACAGCAGCATAACGAGGCTTTGCATTTTTCAGGGACATAAAAATTGATTTCTTCTAAAGTCAGTTTCATCTCATCGACCCACGTCACTAAAGTTAAATGACTTTACTTTCCTTATATAACTTTTTATGTTTGTCCTTGTCTCTTGATGGGTTTCTCGGGGCATAAACGCCTTGACTAAGATGTCCATCATCTGTAGGTGTAAGCTCTCTCCCAGCTCCACCCACTCAGGAGGAAATGGTGTTTACAGAGGTCAGACAAAGACTGAAGGCAGCCACAATCACACAAACACACAAACACTCAATCACTAAATCACACAAATATACAAAGACATCCAAACCCTTTGGTTATATATAATTCAGATTGGAGAGAATATAAACTGTATGGAACAGACAGTAATCCTGCAGTTTTACATAATTCAACAGTACATGTGATGACTATATGATTGCATAGGCGGGATTTTTGGGATGAATAAAAAATTAAAAAGGAAAACAGAGGTATTGTCTTTACGTTTATACAGTTATGCTGTCACCAGACTTATTCTTTTGCTTCTTATTCTTATAGAAATCAATGCATTTCTTTCAAAGATATGGAATCTATGAATCTTTCCTGTTCACAGAAATCAGTTAATTGGGTAATAATGTAATCAAGTATCCTTAAACATAAGAAAAAACTTAAATACAAATACAAAAATTCTAAATAGGATTCTAAAAATAATGCAATCATCTGCTCTTGAGGGCATTTTAGGATTTAAAGTGCCTCTATTGAAAGTTGCTGGTTTAGATATATTGTTTAAATACTTTCATTTTAAATCTTTATTGTTACTTAAAGATCATTATATCTATTTAAACTCAGTAACATTGGTACACGCAGATGACAGAGAAAATCTACCATCATCCATCTCAGGTCAGTGAGTGCCGAGGCAAAATCTGGAGGTGTAAAATGGCTGGTATGGTCATGCATCTGTCCCTGTCTCACTGAGCGGCAGTCTGTCCATACAACGACTCAAGAAAAGCTGTGCATGTGAGTTGATTACCAACTACAGTAACAATGATACTGTACAGTTGTCCTCTTCCCAGTGTGCTCACCACATATCTGACATCTCTTTCATTGTTTTTCACTGGAGTTGTTTTGCCTGAGGATGTTTTTATTACACACTGATGACAGCATCATTCATGTCAAGCTGGAAAGATCCAAATGTCTGCTGCGGCGATTATGCAACTTAACAGTCATATTCGGGGCATGTTTCCAAAATAAAACCAGCGCAGTGAGCTTGTGTTGAGTCTGGGATGTGGGTTGCTGAGGTTGAAGAGAACGGGCTCTTTGTCTATAATTCATAGAGCTAAATGGAACAGAGCAGCCTCTCCTGTCACTGCATGTCTGCACTGAAGCTCTTAACGTAGAGCCAGTGAGAAGTGGGGTGTGAAAATAAAATACTCCTCAAGTACTGTACAGCACCCAACAAAGAGCATGTGTGCACACAAAGACCTAAATACACAGATATCATAATATTACCTGTCAGACTTGCAGGTTGAATTCAAGAGACAATTATTTCTGTTAAACCGTGCAAATATGAATAATTACATTTTTATTTTAAAAAAAACATTAAATATTATGTCTACAATCTGTTTCCTCTTGCTAAAACCGTTTCATAATTAGGGATAGGAATCTGAATTATTGCAGCAATGAATAATTGATGTCTGGGAGATTACCATTGTGTCCAGTTAGATTGTTGAAAATAAATAAAAGGATAATTGAAAGACTTTGATTTTTTGTGGTAATTGCAGCTATGGATAATTAACAAAACCCCCACCCCCTCTTGTTTTATGTATAACACCTATATTAGTTATATGAGGGGGGGAAGGGAGAAAAAAATCAAAACATGAGGAAAAATGAAATCAAGGTTTGAAATATTTGCTTTATAAATGAACATGAAAAATAAACACAGCAAAGGAAATAATTTAGTTTAAAAAACATTGAGACTGTAAATTGTTAAATTATAGGATTAAAAATATTGTTTTTTTTCAGCATGAAAAGCATCGAATTGTTCAGCAAACTCTTCATTATGTTCACATCTAGATGTTGTAAACTCGGTAAACAACAATAATAAACACAGTGGCTCCCTGTGGCTCTTAACAGCCGCAGTCAATTTGCCCTCCATAAACAATAGGGCTTCCCTTATGTTTCCCGTCGTTCATTGCTCTCAGGAGAAGGATTTACTCAAACTAAAGACATATTTATTCATAAAGCTTCTCTCCATTGATATTCACTCTTCTACTTCCCTGTCATACTCTCCAAGTAAATGTGGTGTATTTGTGTGAGTTTCCTCCGCATGTCCACGCTGCTTTTATTTCCAATCCAAGATAAATGTCACTTTACCTCATACTGGAGATATTGTTTCCTCCACTCGGGAGTGATGTGGGAAGAAAGATGCTCCGCGAATTTCATTTTGCCGGAGCAGCTGTCCCCCTCTTCGAACCTTAAAATCCTCAGCTTCTGTCCCCGTCGACGCGACTTTCTGTTTTAGTGTGAATGTCAGTGAACTTGCTGCAGCTCCACATGCGGCGCGTCAGCCCGGCGCACTCCGCTCCGCTCACTCCACTTCTGGCTCGTCCCGGTCGGTGCGCTCCGAGCGGATCCCGTCCCACATACTACTTCACGGGAGGGACCGCGGTGACAGCAGCCCCTCTGTCTGGGTTAGTTTGTTTCTTTATAAAACAGGTGGTCGCGTGTGACGGAGCCGGGGAGAGAGGCTCAGTCAGTGACTTTGCTCCGTTCCTTCCTGGGCAGGTCTGGGGACAGTGCGGTCCGCCATCGCGTTGAGCCACGGGCGACGTGGTTGCGTCAGCAGAGCGCGCAGGGGCACCGGGCGTGGATGGGACCTCCTGTCAAAGTGCTGGCAGCGTGGTCAATTACCCCCCTCACCCTTTACTCACCCTCCTCACCCCTTACTCAATTCTTCCTTCACACACCTCACCCCTTACACAAACCAGCCCCCCACGTGCCGCCGGCTGTTGCACGTTGTTGTTGTTGAGTATCTGAATGAAAGAGCGGATAAAGTTAAACCTTATAATCATTTACATACCTTGATAAAAATCATCTAATGTCTACAAACATGATTTTTTAAAATCACTCTTCTCATCTCTTTGTCTTTTCTCTTCCACCAATTCAAATAATTAGAGTTAAGCATATTTTTCACAGGATTATCTCCACATTTCCACATTATAGACGATATCTGGAACTGGGACAGCGAATGATGCTACTGGTAAACATAGTTTAATGAAGAGGCCTTCGTGCTCTCAGAAAGTACATCGTTTCAATATTACAGGATAATAGGCTGCCATTACTTACAATATTCTGTAGGTGTGTTGTCCAGTATCCACTGATTTATGGAAAATGTAATAACAACGAATCCAATAGTGTTTCAATGTGTAACACAAATGTTCGTCTTTCTGAATATGTTATCGTCTCGTCTGATTTAAATTGTAAATCCAGTTTAGTTTAGTTTTGAATGAATCTCATGAGCGCTGTTTGGGACAGGTGACGAGCAATCATTGTGCATATAGCGGCATCTGCTGGACAAACTAAGCTAATGCATCTTGCTGCCAACGAGACTGGTTCGTCGTATCCAGGCTACGATCTGGTTTACTATGAGTTTACTTCATAACAAGTGTCAACAGAAACTTTCACACTCGGACATCATGTGAACATCGTGTTGATCACAGTAAAAAAGAATAGATCAGGTTTAATGGATTAAAACTGAAACTGGATTTCAATTGAACAGAAAAGTGATTAAACGAGTCGTTGGTCGAAAAAGCTGAAGCTAGTAAATCAAAGGCTGAATTAAATCTTCAAAGCTGCAGAACTCAGAAGACAAAACATGGAGCTAAACCATACTGAGCTCACAATAAAAACAAACAAATAAACAATACACACATCTAGTACACTTAACATGACAAACTATAACCACAAACAACCAAAAACAACGACACCACAAACATCAAAACTGCACCTGAATAATATATTTCTGCGTAGACTTTCTAAGCTTATTATAATAAACTACTTCAGAGTATGTTCTATTGTTAATGTTAATTGTTTTGTTGCTTCGTGTTTTTTTTTTACCGGAGAAGAAGCCCGGTCAGTAAATGAATCCGGAACCTTCGTTTCAGCAGGTGGTTCAGCCGGGGCGTTTACGTGACAGTACCAGCGACGGACCCACGACAGAAACAATCCGACTGTCACAGATTCTCAGCGATAACTGATGGAAATAAAGAAGTAGCCGCTGAATGACTTTATAAATATTTATCCGGCAGCTGCTTTCTGTTCGTATTTCATATTTTCCACGCGGGTCTGCGGCGCTCGTCGTGTCTGGGGTTCGCCACACGCAGCAATAACAATGGCTTCTGGGTCACCGTCGTCCTCCCCGGACACTGCGACGGGCTCAGGTACAGACCCAGCCCGGCCCGATACCGGGGAGCCCCTCGGTGGAGCAGGCTCGGACTCCGACTCGGACTTGGGTTTGGGCAAGTTCGACTGCAGCGCCATGGACATGGGGGACAGGCTGGAGGGAGAGGAGCTGATGGCGGAGTTTGAGTCCGCAGCCGATCGCGTTCGAGACCTGGTCCAGACCGCCGGCAGGGACCAGCTGCTGTACCTGTACGCCCGATACAAGCAGGTGAGTGTCAGACCGCGTGGACCAATGGTGAGCCCTCGAGTGGTGCGTCACGTGACTTTGAATGACAGCCACATGGAGGGAATGATCCAAATTCCTGCTCCATCACTGGGCTGTGATCAGGTCACTCAACCTCATGTCTGTGTGTTGTCCTCCAGTCTCATCAGGTTAACCGACATATTGATCGATGCTTGTGTTCACAGGTCAAAGTGGGAAAGTGCAATACACCAAAGCCCGGCTTCTTCGACTTCGAAGGACAGAGGAAATGGTATGAAGCTGCAACTTCTGTTTACCATAAAGGGTTTGAACACAGTTGTAGATAAACAGGGGTCGCTTTGGTACTGTTGGTCGTAGCTTACATTTAACACACAAACACACACTATAGACAGCTTCAGACATCGACTGTGTGTGTGAGAGAGAGAGATGGAGAACATTTTGTTGTCTACCTTACATATTACACCTGTGTTATGACCAAACAATCCAAGTCATTCACATCAGATATCAGTTGTCACTATGAGTGTCACATTAATCTTTCTTTTAGGCTTAAAGACTTGCTCTTGAGGGATGGTTGTGTCTTTTAACTCTTCTTTTTGGCCAGAGAAAGACAAACACTTGATATAGAGCAAAACATGATAAAAATGTGATGTAATCAATCATAATTTATACTTCCTTACTGTGCTTACACAACGCACAAGCATTATATTGATATATATTGGACTTTTGTTATATTGTTATTGATGAAAGTTGTATTTTGATATTTATTACCCAATCCTGTGTTCTATTGTTTGATATGAACTGCTCGTCCTACATGAAGTAAAACCCATTTGAGAAACTCTTTATATAATATTTTCAGTTTGTGTCATTTAATATCTAAATGTCTACTTCACATTTTATGTTGCTGTGTTCATGCACTTTCCAGTTTACATTGTAAACCATTACACCCAAAGCAGATAAAACTGCCTCTGTAAATGATGATTATGATGATGATGATGCTGATGACAGTTATGATGTCATTACTACAGGCAAGCCTGGAAGCAGCTGGGAGACATGGAAGCAGAGCAAGCAATGCAAGAGTACATTTCATGTGTCAATGTGTTAGACCCTGAAGGCAGCACGAAGGTAATAACCATTTCTAAAAAGTCAAAGCTGATTCCCACAACTTCACATACTGTCAAGTACTATACTATAAAACTTAGCGTTGTTCTTTCTTGTAATAAAATAAATGCAAAATAAGAACAAAACAAAGTTCTAAAAAGTTACGACACACTTTCGTATAAGAAGGAACAGGGAGGTTTACTAATACCCTCTTAAATTAGATGTGTTAAAATTACAGATGCTAAGTGGCTTGCAGACTTGATGAAATGTTTACCTATCTATTTTGTAGCCATCCTTCTTAGAAATCAGTGTTTGTGGATTTAATGATATGATGAAATGGAATAGAAGGTCTAACTCATTCAACCAGAGAATATTGTATAGAAGCTTCTTTTGCTCTAGTTTCACCCATCTGGCACTTTGTATACAAGTATTTGAAATAAACACAAGTATTCAACTCTTCTCCATGCTATGGAGAAAAATGACAATAAGAGAAACAGCGAATGTCAACTTTTCCCTTTTTTCAAATGCAGTTTTGTGTTTTTGTCAGTAGAGGTCAGTGTCACAGTGTCAGTCCTTTTAGTAGCTCTTTATTCTGTACATGTAGCATGAAAAATACATGAGGAGGTTATGTTGTCCTCCTCAGTGTCTGACATTTTGGGACATGAATAATGCATTCATTTGTCAGAGTATGGCTGAGGAGATGTGTCTCCATGTATGGTGACACAAGAGAGTTTGTTTACATCTCTACACACTACTGAGTGGACTGTCAGGAGAGTTGTGTTGCCACGGACAACCTGTCCCTAGAGACAAAATCGCTCAGTTACAACAACAAGTTTATACTGTGAGTGCTGTGGGGAAGAGCATTATTAATGAAACACTAAAAATAACAAACTTTACCCACAAAATATTATCAAAATGTGTGCAAGATGAATATTCTTATGTTAAAGAAGGCCAGCTGTTTGCTGTGCAGGATTACAATGAAGTTTATGAAGGAAATGGTAATTCTTCGTGTGTCTGTTTTTGAGAAGCCATTCTCAAATGATGATCTACTGAGCCAACTGCAGCTCATTGCACAGTGAAGCTTATTACAGCTGACAGCAGTCAGTGTTCAGCATTTCTTCAAATGTTGTTCCCTCACCATTCTTCTCCACCTCAGTGCTAACTGCTTTTCTTCTTTACCCCTTCATTCTACCATTACTCCATCTCTCCTCTTTCTCTGCTCTGTGTCTATATTTATGTCACTTTATATAGTGTCACTGTCAACCACACCTCCAATCCTGACACGTCCTTTTGTCTTCGACCACACTGCGGGGGCAATACTCGCTGACTCTACCCCATAGCTGCACAATGCCAGGACAGAGTCCAGCAGAGCCCCCCCTTCCTAAAAAAGGAGCTGATTGTGTTAGTGCTAGCAAAGCACCTTAGCATGGTGGTGGCTATTCTTTTGGAAGCCCAGTTGAAATGGTGTAAGTAGGAGTGCATAGACAGAGAAGCAGGGGGAGAATAATAGCCAGAATTTGACCTCTGCTCCGTCTCAATTGTTGAGCAGACACTGGATTTATATTACATTACACTGCAGAGGAGCGGGGCCAGTGCATCAGCGAATATTCTGACTTTCTGAAGTGAATTAGGTCGAACCAAAAGTGCACGCACAGTTGTTTTGCTCCGCTTGTCATGTTCTTCCCCACTCTCCCTATTTTCCTGAAATCAGATTTGTGTGGGTTCTTTTGTGAGTCAAGGTTGGTCAGTGAAGAATAGGCTGGGTAATAAAGTCCTGGCTGAACCGAATGTAATATGGAATTCCATGAAAACACAAAAGATTAACAACAGCCACAAATTGAGGCGCAATACATTTTTATGTTGTTCTGTTGCATGTTGTTGGTTATTTATTGCCAGTGAGGTCATGTCTAAACCCTCAGCAAGTAGTCTGAATGTTATCTTTGTCGTGCATTGGCTCTGCAGTGGCTATAGTGGGGAAGCTATAGGTAAAGCCATTCACAGTGAATGGCCAATACCAGCCCTATTGTTCTGCACTTAGCTCACAAAACAGTTTGGTCAGTGCCTCTTTCCATCACGACACAGGCTGCAGAACTCAGCCAAACTAGACCAGGTTGGTGACGCTATCACTGAACAAGAGGTCGTTTTGTTAACGTGTGACGGACATTTGTAAATATCACATTTCTAATTCAACTGTGTGTAAAGTGAATATTGATCTTTTATGTTGTTTTTATTTGACAGGAAAGACAAGGGGCAGAAAGGAGAACAGGTTTCGGAGGAGCAGCAGTTAGCTCTCTATACCAGGAAGAGATGATCAGGTATTTACATCAGGAGTCACACACACACACACACACACACACACACACACACAAACATACAGATACACAGTTATGGCTCGGGAGATAGAGTGGGTCGTCCTCCGAGTGTTGTGGTTTGAACCACGGGTCCTCCATTCTGCATGCCGAGGTGTCCTCGGGCCAGACTCTGAGCCCCAAACTGCAGCTGTGCCGGCAGTGTCTGAGTGATGTGTATTTCTGCATACAGATGCACTGTGTGAGTATGTGTGAAGAGGTGAATGACCAAGTGCTTTGAGTGGTTATCAAGACTAGCAAAGTGATTTATACAAATACAGGCCATTTACACACACATGTATACACAGGCAAACATACATCAGAAAATGTTGTGAAGTTGATGACACAGTGAATGACAGTAGCGTCTTTAAGAGTTTCACAGACACACAAGTGTTTTCCTCTGTACCAAATCACACACACTCTTTATTCGATTCAGTGATTTCAGGTTGTGTTATCAGATCCCAAAGAATTTCAGTCTTGCCCAAGGACTCTTGAACAGACTTAGCTTTTTCCTCCAGTTGTGAATCCCATACTAATTGAATACATAGGTAATCTCAGTCAGAGTCTGGCATTGTTAACCTATGGTCTTGATGCTGTGTTTGATTATATTCAACAGACCGTAACTGCGGTTAGGGTCCGCAGACGTCATACTGATTTTATGTTAATGAAATATATTCTCCATTTACTCCAGCCTGGCAGAGTTACTCAAGCTGAAAAACCTCATCTTCATTTCAATGAAAAAAGAGCTCTTTTGGAGATGAAAATGAGATGTGTGAATCCTGCAGGTTTTCCTCCTAAATGGCTGTATGTGATTAGTATGCACAGTCTTGGGAAGAGACAGCCAGAGTCTCCCCTTTTTAATTACGTTACGATTCGGGGGGTGGTCCGGGGGGTGGGTGATGAAGACTGGCGGTGTACAGCAGAGGGATGTGAGTACAGCAGGTTTCCCAGAACGGTGCTCCCTGCAGTGATATCCAGTTGCAGCTATGCCCTGAGGGACACCAGGAAGGAGGAAGTCATTAACATGGCATGTACACGCACCTATGCACATGTGCACACATAAACATACACTTGCCTCTATACGTCGACTCAATCGCATCCAAATCCATGCACAGCCTCCTGGAACTGTCACACTCACTGCTCTGCTGCATTTCAATTTCCTCTTCCTCATATATACACACATAAACACACACACACACACACACACACAGACCCACTCCATATTAAACAGCTAAGCACCTGTTAACCAGACATAAAGTTAATTGCATTGCTCAGTGCTCATCTAGATCTCAGAATGTGTTTGTATGGGGCGAGTATATCGACAAAACCTGGATTGATTATCTATATCCCTGGGCTATGGAGCTGATCAGTGTGTGATTGAGGAGGATTTGAATGCTACATTTGTAATTCTCTCACCCACCTAGTTAACAGATACTGATAAACACTGGAGGTGTTGTTGTGTGTTCGCTGTGCTGGAAGCCTGTGGCTGAGTTATGTGAGTTTTCATTGTTCCTCGTACTTACATGGACCTCAGCCATGTTGAGAGTGGAGACCAGGGTCCTATAGGAGATGTGATGACTGATTGTGTGTGTGCGTGTGTGTGTGTGATGGATGGTATGGCCGTGGTGTTGATCAGTGAAGCTCAGGCCAGGTAGATGAGTGTTCTCTACTACTGTGGCCAATTTAGCCTGATGGATGAAGGACATATCTGCCAGTACACCAGACTATAACACACACATGAGCACATAATGCACACACACACACACACACTCACACACACTCACACACACAGACGCACAAACAAAACCCTAGGTACCCCAGCTGTTGTGAAGACAAAGTAGGCTTCCCAGCATGCACTGCGGCACTGTGGATGTCGTGTCATTATAGTACTCACATTAACCATTTGTGTATGTTTGGCCACAGGTGTGTACATTCATATGTAAGCTTGTTTTAGTGATTGTGTGTATTTATATAACCTTAAGTTACATTGCATACTTAGCTGTGTGTGTGTGTATGTGTGTGTGTATGTGTGTGTGCATGCGCTTCCTATATGCGAGCATGTGCGGCATGCTCGTCAGGTCAGCCCTGTTTGAACCATTGACGAAAGACTGATGAGCTGGCCTATTGATTAGTTGCCAGGGGAGACGGATGGTGGCCACACATCAGGGACACTTGGGGTCACTGTGGCCATCAGACAAGGAAGTGGGTGTGGTCCTGCATTGGGGGGGAATCATGAATAAACATAGCGCTGGTAATCAGGAGTATGTAAATGAATGTGCTCATACATAACCAAGCTGTGATAAAAGTGTAATGAGTTATTCATAATTCATCACAGGCTGATGAGGAAACGCAGCGAGAGAGAGGGAGGAACCAGATGAGTGAGAGGGAGAGAGCGGCCAGATGAAAAGATGAAGAAAAGGAAGTGCAGAGGTTCATTAAAGAACTTTGTGTCTGTGGTTAGTGTCACTTCTGGCTCTTTAGTCTTACACTAGACAATATAAGGTGCGGATTGTGGACAGGAGAGGTTCATCTCCCCTGGGTGAAGCTGTGTTTGGAGTATGGATTCTTATTGTGGAACAGTTGATCTCACTGAGATGAGACTTGGTCTGGGTTTTGAACTTGGCCTGAGGTTTTATTATTACATCCACCAAGGAGCTTGTGTTTTCATCAGTCTTTGTTTGGTTATTTGTTAGTTAGCAGGATTATGCAAAAACTACCAGATGGATTATCACGAAACATGGTGATAGGATGTGGTATGGGTGAGGAAAGAAGCCATTAAAGTTTTGTGCAGATCCGGATCAGGGGGCGGAACCAGGATTTTTTTTTCATTCTCTTTAACACTGAGAGATTAGGCGTTTTTGACATTTTCACTGATTTCCTTATGGAGCACATTTAGGGGACTGATATTTGTAAGTTTGTGCAATGGTACAGCTTGATTAGATTTAACAGGACCAGTGGGCCATCCTAGTTTCACATATTATATATTTTTTTTGTGTATGTTTTCTTTCAGCATACAAAGCATACTTCAAGACATGTGCCTCAAGTGTTAGTTAGTTAAACAATGGCAGCTATGTTAAGGCCATGTTCTCCCCACCCAATATAACAACATCCTCAGTGTTAAAGATGTTGTTCGGCATCCAATAGTGGCTCCCGTGTGGCTGGAGCAGGGTGTTTGCTGTGGGACCAGTAAGGCCCCAGTGAGACAGAGCTAGCAGGTGTCACTGTCAGGAACAGGGGGATTTGGCCTTGGGGATGACTGACTCACTGTGTGGGAGTGGTACAGTGGTGGGTATGTGGGATTTCTGTCAAACAATAGAGCACTAAATTCAATTAATCTGAATGGCCGGCATGGTTAAGCGAGAGGGGAAAGGCGTAAAGCTCTAAATGAGATTTCACCCCTTCTCTCCCCCTCACCCAGCAGTCCTCCACCACTGCACCCTGCCTTCCACCCGCACTCAATCCTGTCCCCAATGCCGAGAGGTGATTAGAGACACGGAGATATAATCGGAGTGTGTCGTATGTCAGTGTTCCCGAGGGATGAGGCACGTGTGGCTGCTGCTTTTGTGTGAATCATGTGTTTGTGTTATCTGTTATGGCTTTATGTTTGATGACTAAACACTGTAGTAACATAGGTTCTTGCTTTTCTCAGTGTGCACACAATTAAAAGATGAAACATGTGAAAGCGGTTAAAGAGCAGATTCACCAAAACTGTTAAACTGTGAGCACCTCAGACGAAATTCCTTTCACCTCCATTGTATTGTGACAGAGACATGTTGTAAAAATATCAGACGTATCTCAAAATATAAGTAAAACCAAAGCAACGTCATCTGATTGATTGTATATTTTCTTTTCTCTTTCTCTGTGTTTGAATTTCTGTCTCTCTCAGGGAAGAGGATAAGAACATCTTTGACTACTGCAGAGAAAACAACATCGACCACATCAGTCAGGCCATCGACTCCCAGAAAGTGGATGTAAATGCTAAAGACGAAGAGGTAACTACAGTGTTTAAAGATAACTGTACTGGTGGGACAGGATAGGAATAGCCTAGAATAAGGGAATCAACCTCTCACTACAGGATTCATGTGCAACACTCAACATCAGGAAGCATTTAGTTTGCTGAAGTTTCTTTTACAAATACACTGAATCCATCCCAGCTGCAGGCTTGCTGTCTGGTGCTCTGACCCCTCGATCACGAGGGCAAGTAAAAATGATCCTCATGAAAAATACAGGTCACTGGGTCATGTTTTTTCGCAGTGATTGCAAAATGGTTCCAATGATCTGAGGCCACAAACATGGGAATCACTCCCCAGACTGAGGAGGGCAAACTGTATAAACAGCTATTATTACCACCGCGATGTGTTTTGTGGATTGACCCTGAAATCCAGTCATCTGTCCTTGATTCATTATCATCCAGGACCAAATGGTTGCTTTGTCAGTACAGCCGCTCCTCAGATAAGCAGGCAGGCGGCTGGTGAGTTCCCAGTCAAACACCAGATGGTTGAGGGTCCACAGCAGCAGAGAAACTTTCATCCCTCCTGTAATGCTGTCTGCTCGTCTGCAGTTCTGCTTCCCCAACAGCAGAGGGCAATGGTGAAGTTTCATCATCAGCAAGAAGCCTGATGTGCTCCTGCAGCTCAGAGAGATGGACACAGAGAGAGGCTCTGTCTCAGTGGATATTTAGTGTGTCAGTGACTGAATATCCACCTGTGTTACATGTTTCTGTTGTTAACTAACTGTTACTAATGATGATTAAGTAGCAGTTGATTTGAGTTTGTGGAAGATCGTCAAACATTTGCTTGGTAAATGAAGTCATCCCGTCATTCATGCCACATAGCTCCTGGTCATGTAGGCTTAGATGATTTTAAAAACATATTTTTGTCATTTGACTTCATGATTATTATCAAATAACAATAAAACTAAAGTAACAGTAATAGTTTTTTTACATGCAGCTTGCAAGGATTATAATTATCATTATTATCATTGATTATCACAGGATATATCCTCCTGAATGATCAAATATATTACAAAAATAGAAGGAGTGACAATGTCAGATTAATTTTATTGTAATTAATAAATCATGATCATCTCTGGATGACCTGACAACATTGTGAATTGTTTTTCAAATTTTTGCATAAATCAAATTGACACTTTAAATGTTTACTCCTCGTAAAATAGAAGATAAGTGTTGACCTCAAACAAAACCTTTTACTATCAAGGCAAGAAAACTTGTTAATAGTTCTGTGTTGGGAGACACTGTCAGGTGTGTCCTATATTTACTTTATTTGTCCTTACTGTGTCTTTTTGATCACTTAAATCATTGTGGTTCTTTTAAAGCCCAGACAATCTAATAATCATTGTGCTTATTACTACTTATATAAATGTGTTGGGGGGGTTTTCAGTATAGAAATCATAAACTAAGATATGTGCTTAAAATGTCGGTTTAGTTTACCTGAGAAGACAAAGAGGCAGCTGTCATGTTTATGATGTTAAATTCAGTATCATCCACCATCTATTTAAATACAAAGGTGCTATACCAATTCAATTTGAGCAGTGAAATATATTGCAATATTTTAGATAAGGAATGCACTTGCATACTTTTTTTGCATACTTGCCTCTTAGGTATACCTATATACAAACATGCAAAACTGCTTATTATATGCTTATACTCACTGCTACGTGTTTATATTGGGAGAGAGCCAGAGAAAGAGAATGAGATAGAAGAGACAGATGAAGTGAAAGTAGCAGTGAGAATGTACACATACTTTATATTCATTCTGCAGACTGAATGTATTGTCCATTTGTGTATCTGTGTTACAGATGTAATACCATTGTTAGTTTCTCTGTACAGCAGAGCTTCTGTTGTCCGCAGTGAGAAAGAGTTTGCCAACCTGCCAATCACAGAGATTGGAGACTTCTCTCCACCCACTGTAGAGTAGAGTGAGTTCAACATTTGTTATGTCAGGTTTTACCTTCCTGCTTTTTCAGCTCTGATCAGAAAATACCATTCTTAATGTGCCTTCTTCTAAGTATAAAGGTCCAAACTCTGAATCTGTAAATGGGATTTCTTGAATGCTGCACTTTTTTTTTTCTCGCCTTTATTTGAAGCCATTTTTCAACTGCGAAGAGGCAGAAAGGAAAAAAGGGGGAGAGAGAGAAAGAGAGAACGGGTATCACAGCAAAGGTCCAGATCCAGATTAGTTCAGTGTCCTGTAGTAGAGTCTGGTCTTCAGTGAAAATGTGGCCAGCAGTCAACAGCAGCACACCTGTAAGAGGGCAGGAACGAGTGAGAGAGCGAGGAAGAGAGGAGCCACACCAACTTATTGGTATTCTGGCCTGGATCATAAGTATCCATTCTACCATGCAGCCGTGGTGATCAATATGATTTAAGCAACAGAATTGAACTTGGCGAGTTTGCTTTACCTAATTGGCCTCACTGAAAAATGAGCTTGCTTGGTTTTATTAGAACAAGGATCTTGAACCTAAAGAGAGAATGATGCATTTGTGTGTTTCTACTTGTACTTCCATCTTTGGGTGATAGAACTTATACAGGCAGTGGATGTTAAGACTTGTTTTTAGGGATATGGTTAAAATAGGGTTTGAGTTTTTTCATTTAGTTGTGATGGTTAGGGTAAGGGGCTAGGGAATTAATTATCCCTATGAGTTTCCTCACTTTTCAGACTGTGTGAGGGTTTCTGCAACACACCTACACAGAGAGAGAGAGAGAGAGAGAGAGAGAGCATCACACATACTGTATCTTGTCAATCTGTCGTTATGTAGTTGAGGTCCAAAGGCTCTGAATTCTGAATGGTGCATAATTTCTTTTGTCTGGAAGCAAAGACTCACTGAAGTCTGGTTAATATCAAGGCCCAGGAAATATATATGTTGTATACATAACATTTCATGAAATAAAACTGATTTAAACACAATTTAAATGTTGGGTCATACTTTGAAAGGTTTGCTCAGAGCAGATTTTTAAAATATCTCAGTAATCTCATGGTGTGCACTTGTGTGTTTGTGTTCGCAGGGGCGGGCTCTCCTGCACTGGGCCTGTGACAGAGGACACAAGGAGCTGGTGTCTGTATTACTGCAGCACAAAGCAGACATCAACAGTCAGGTCAGTCTGTCCATCTCTCTTTCTGGGGTTGCCTCTGCATTTTGACATAAAAGGTTCTTCATAAAACATCACTGAAAGAAACCGTCTTCAGGTGGATCAAGCAAGTATTGCAGAACTGGAGTATCTTTTCAGGTCTGTGTGTTATGGAGTAGCCCCCTTTAACTGCATCCAATACACAGTGTGAGAGCTGGACTTTCTTGGTGATGGAAGAGCCCCAACTTTAAAACACACACAGCTTAATTTGCTGTTACAAGCACATTCATGTAAAACACAAACAAGTACAATGTGTTTGCTGAGGTGTTTTTGATGGATTTTGTCTCAGAAGTCACTACAGACTGTGTTTGAGGTCTGTCCCAGTGTGGATGAGCAGTATCAGTGTAAGTAATAGATGGAGATGAGAGGAAAGTGTCAGTAGTCTTATAATTCCCATAACACTGCTCAGCACTCGTGTAAACCCAAAGCAAAAATAGTGACATCTTCAGCACCCCCACTGCCCTTCTCTCCTCTCTCTCCATCCTCTCCCACCCTTGCAGAAGGTCACCTTTAATTCACTTTGTGCCACAGACAAATCCCTCAGGGCTTTAACAGACACAGTTAGCTGGTAGCTAGCCTGCTGTTTAGCCTTCCCAAGGTTTAGCTGCATCCAGGAGGCTTTAGCTGTAAGCTGGCTCAGCTGCACATCGGAGAAATTACTCCTCTTCCCTGCCTAGCGGCACGACATAGTGCAGTTCACCGGGCTGCACGCTGAGGCTTTAACTGTAAGGCAGAATCAATTGGAAGTAATCAGGCAAATTGTTTTACGTTGCACAACCCACATAATCAGGACATTTCACAAATGAATTTCTCTTTTGTGGTCATGAGTGCAGACCCCTTTTGTTTTGAATGCAGCTGGGAGGGGATTTGTGGTGGAATGGTTCATAAAGGACTTAACAGTGGGATAACTATCAAAACACTTCGCTGATGATTTAGAGCCATATCAAGATGACAGGAGGAGGGTTGATGTATAGCGAAAGCCTTTTGCCCTGTGGTATGAAGTCGTGCATATATATATATATATATATATATATATATATATATATATATATATATATATGTCACGTATCTATCATTAAAATATGAATTATGTAAAAATATAAATACCAAAAGTTTTCAGCTGTCAAAGAAGTAACATTAATCTTTGGTCAGGTTATGATATTGGACGGCTGAAGTTTAACAGAGTTCAATTTGTTTTCCTACTTCATTATATATCAAAACACAAAGTGTGAAATGACCTAATGTTTCTTTTTTCCTTTTATATCATTTGTAAAGGCGGTAGAGGATGACAATAATGAAGAGTTTTAAAATCTTTTTTAAAAAGATTTAAAAATGTGCCTTTTTTAGCACATTTCTGGAGTTACGATAAAGCCACTCAGAGTCAGTCAGAGTCCAGACGTCACCTGAATCCATGCATTAAGGCCTTCAGGACCTCTCCACCTGTCTGCCTCGCAGGTGTCTGAGGGAGCCGGGCCAGGGGCCAGACTGAATATTAAAGGAACTGGACCTGTTCAGCAGTGGCAGCAGATTTATGAGGTGGCTGAGAGAAAAATATTGTCAGCTAAATCATATCACTCTGTCGCAACGCCAAATTATCTCACTATGTAAAGCTTATAAAACGATATGCGTCTCATTAGAACCTGCTCAGACATCCTTTTGTGTGAGAGTAAGACAGAAAAGGAGGGAAAGAAGGAAAGGAAAGTTGCAACTTTTTTGTACTAGAGAACAATAACAAAAGATTGATCAATAATTTTATCCTTCTGTCCTTTTTGTCCAAAGCCACTGTGACAACGAAGAGTATCTGAGGTTGTGTGTGTTCATGAGAGGAATAGAGGAATGTTTGGGTTGTTTGCGGGCTATTAGAGCGACCAGTAATCTCTCTTGACCTCTACCAACTGCCGAGCAACCAGTAAATAAAGATCAAACATGATTTATGCTTAATTTGTTGATTAAAAAGGGGAGGGGGACTCCAGAGTTATGACAAAAAGTATTATTATTTGCTTGGCAGAGGAGGGAAATCGTTTGAAATTAATCAACTGATTGTTTTAGTGAATTGTTCCCAAACCCTGGTAACCTGCATTAAAGGCTCGTTTGATAGTTAATCCTGGATCAAGGCGGGCTGGGACTATAATAGGTAGCTGTCTGTGTGTTTGAATACGCAGATCACAGCTCTACCACCTGCCAACTGTAGATCCAGCCCTGGTGTCCATACTGTACCCCCCCACCCACATCCCATCTCCCACTGTATCACCGCTCCCTCAATCAGCTGATTCTCTCAGAGAAACTGGGGCAGACAACAATGACTGGGAAACATGACAATAAGACCTCATTTAATGTAATAACGGAAATTAAGGCTGAAACGCTGGACTTATGTTCTGTGTTCTAGAATGTATTTAAGAGCATTATTGAGAAATGAGCTTAAGTTTAGGACATTCCTTCATATCACGACTGCAGTGAAGAGAGACCTGACAACAGAATATTAAAAGTAAGAATTCTTTCCGATTAGCAAAAGCTGACATCAAGTTCAGGTCAGATTCTTTGACTAATTTACCTTTTTATTAAACATATTCTTTCTGATTTATATATATTATATATGAAGACAAAGTTCTTCAGTAGTTGCCTGGTGTTAAGATAAAATTAAACACTGAATGGATAATCATTGCACAAAAACTACAGAATTTACTTTCTCTACTGTTCACCAAAGCAAAAAACGTTTTTAATAAAGACCACAGAGAAATGTGAAACATCAGAAGAATTTGGTAATTTGTGGTGATTATATGTTTTGTTTAGAGTTTGTAGAGTATGTTGTTTCAGTGGTCTAGACGTGTGCTTGTGTGTGTCCACACTCCCTGTGGTCATTCTCTGTCCAGACGCTGTAATCCCACACCCACAGCTACAATAAGCCCCATCCCACACACATAGACACACACACACAACTTTTCCTTTTCAGGGTGAAATCCCAAACCCTCCTCTGACACTCCCAACGAGCTCTCAGGTTGCCATGGGGATGCATTGCTTATATATAGGACGTGCCCATTTGTGGGAACTGGAGTTGAAAAGACAGGGCTTTGGTTCAGAGTTGTTTTTCAGACTACAACAAAGGTCAGAAATGGCCCCAGAGTAGATTTACACAATGTCTGACTTAAAGCGATTACTGCGAGGGTAAGTGATGGAGGCGGGATTAGGCTGACAAAGAGGAAGGACAGGTGAGATGCAGGTTATTGCAGCTCGAACACAATGGCAGGAAGGAAACATCGTTGAGACTTAAAATTAGAGGAGGTGATAAGAGAGTGCAGTGCAGGTTTGAAACACACGGACCCATCCCACATGCTTTATACTAGACTCATTCCTGCATTTTTTTGCTTTTCTATCTTCCTTTCTCTTTCTCCTCTCCTCATCACTCCTCATCCCCTCCCCTCGCAAGCTCCCATCCCCTCCACTCCATCCCTGCCTGTGCCTCTACTTTGTATTAAAACAACATGATCCATGAGGCGGGGAGGGCAACTCGCAGCACCGCTAATTCTAATTAATCCAGCGTGGTAGCACGGTCGCGGCAGGCCCCAAGCGCTCCCAGTCTATCAGATAGAAATTCATAACTTAATTGAGGTCAGAGCCTCGAGTAGCAGAACAAAAGTCTCCAGCCAGGACCAGCTAGATCAATAGTAATAAATATCTGACTGGGCAGCCTACAATTGGTGGCTAGAGAGCACACAACAAGTCTTTATACACATAGTCTGCATGTGGAGGCTGCAGTGTCTGTCTGGACAGTGTGTGTGCATCAACAGTTTGTGTTAAGGAAAAAGTCAGCGTGTGTATGGCATATTTTTTCAAAGGCACATTCTGTGTGTGATGTGGGAGGAGTTGGAGAGATGATTTATCTTTATATTGGAGCCAAACAGTGAATTCATGACTGTATGTGAAACTGATTCATGACTGATACGCACATGTTGTCACACGTCAGTGATGAACGTAGGAAATATGTGCAATATATGGGTTATTTTACATAAATTGTCCGGGCTGATATTAGCTAATTGCAGATATGTCAGTATTGGCATGATGGCTGATAACAAGGCTGTACAGAATGCAAAACACGTTAATTGTTATTTATGAGCAGTGTTGTTCACCAGAAAGCTTGTTAGTTTATTTTTCATATCTAAAGCGATCCCACCCAGTACAAGTCCTGCTCACTTCTTCTTTACGACTTCTTCAATATCAAAATATTAAAATATCAGCCTCAAAAATCTATTATCAGTCAGGCTCTGTCACGTACAAAGTAAGAATACGGATGTTCTGCATGTCAAATTATAAAAAACACACAAAGTCAGATTCTCTTGTAATTATAAACTACTGCAATATACAAATAGCTTAGAGCTACAGGAAAATGTTTTTTAGATAAGGCTTTTATGCATGAGCCAAATCCTCGGCTCACAAATCAAGTAGCATGTCTAAGAAAATATTCCATTTTAATCAGATTGAACCAATTGAAGCATTAGCATCTGTTCATGCACATCCGTCATGAAACAGAATATTAAACCGGTATCAATATTTATTGAATTTCAATGAACATTCAGCTAAAATTAAATAATATCTTCTACTTTTTTGTGGATATTATGCAGCTATTGAAACCACTTTAGAGCTTATTCCAGTGAAGCAGACAAAGAGCCCCGAACCCTCTCATCTGTGTCCTCTACTGTGGTGTCAACTACTTGTGTGATCACAGTGGTAAACACACGCACATGCACATACACATGCACATGCACACACTCCATGGTGGCTGATTGAAATTCTATGGTGGAGGCATTATTACACGTTTGTATCCCTCCCCTTTCCCAGCAATGCCTCCTATAACTAATGGCTCAGTCAGCCCAGTCATAACAAATATTCAGCAAGATTTGTCATAATTGTGTGTGTGTGTGTGTGTGTGTGTGAGTTTGTGTGTGTGTGTGTGTGTGTGTGTGTGTGTGTGTGTGTGTGTGTGTGTGTGTGTGTGTGTAACCTATCCCTAGAATATATAGGGTCTTGAAGAAAGAAAAGGGAGCAAGTTGGGAAAGTGGAGAAGTGAGGAGAAGGAATAAACCATGAATTCAAAGAATAAAATAAGATGGAGGGAGAAATAAAGTAAAGTAAACAACACTAGTAAAGTTGCAGGATTTGCCCAAATACAGTGTGTAGTCAAGATGGTGATAAATCTGAATTTTGCTACTATCATTTTTTTTTAAATAAATTATACTGTGGGTATGTCCTTGATACCATCCAGTCTGCAGAACTGCTTCTATAACTGCTTTATAAGTTTTACATCTGTGTGGAGAAAAACCTTTTATTTGTCAGGAATCTAATTCACTGG